CCTCATCTACGCATATCCTTCAGATCAGAAGGATCATGACCATCCGCGAAAGAACAAAAAACACAAGAACCTTACGTCCTGGACAACAATCGAAACGAGTGTGGTGAGGTCCCTTCCCATTTCTCTCCCGGGCCATTTCGAGTTTTGGTTTCTTTCTTCTCCACCCTCGGCCATGCTGCCCCCCAAAAAACAAAACCCTTTGCCCGTGTGCCCAAGAGAAAGCCCTTCTCCCTTAAGAAACCCCTGATTACGCCATGTGTCCCGATTCCCGTGGGACTGGTGCTTCCCAGTCCATGCCTGTAAAAAATAACCTCCGAAGTGCCAAACGTAAAAATCAGAAGAAAATCAAAATGCTAGCGTTGAGAGGTGATGCGACGACCTCGGTTGATGAGTTGAACCGACTTCACCGGTTGCGATCATCCTGCGACGATCGACTGGCACGGGACGACGCCCCAAAGCTACCGGACAGCATCCCCAACCACCCGTCGGGTCGGGTTTGCCGTCCCCTGGGCGCGGGCGAGAGAATACCACCCTGCTCCACGTCCTCGTCTCTGTCTCGCGAGCCGGACGCCTCCGCTTCCACCTCGTCGTCAGAGTCGTCGTGATACGGTTCATAGCGGGGGCTAGAGGGGGAGCCGCGTGCAAGAGAGCGAACGACATCACCCTTGCAAATGGGGCATGTGCGGCGGCGCGTCGTCAACCAAGGCGTGCTAAAAACGTTAACACTAAAAACATAAACCAAGGGGGGCAGATAGACTCACATGCACTCGGCGTGGAATTCGTGGCCACAGGGCAAGCTCATGACGCGGCTGACGCCGTCAACGTACTCCTCCAAGCAAACCACGCATTCAACCTGTCTGCCCATGTACTTCTTCCACTCGCTCGAGTAGCTGCCGTTTGCCTTTTCGTGCTCTGTCCGCAGAGGCGACCTAGGCATTTGCAGGGCCGAGTTGACAGACAGCAAGCTCTCTGACTCGGGGATGCCCGTCGTCGTTCTAGAACGAGGTCGTGGTCGGGAAGGCGTCTGCTGTAGCAATGGCGTGGTGGGTGTTGGACTCGTCGGTGATGGAATTCTCGGCGAGGGAACGGGTGACGCCGCGACGGTGTGGTACGTGCGAACGGGCAAACGCTCGACGACTGACTTGGGTGCCCTCCAGCGTCTTCTGCGAATGCGCGCGCGAAGGATCAGCAAGGCATAGACGACGCTCAAAGTGATCAGAGGGCTGATCACAAGCACCAGCAGAGTATCGAAGAAGGGGCTGGAGCTGCTTGAAGGCGTAATCGTAACCCAGAGGCCATCGTGCCCAATAGGCTCGTTGTCATCGTCGTTGTCGCCATCGTCGGGAATGGGCTCCGAGGGCCGCGGGGGATCCTTGGGCTTGTCCTCCTTGGAGAAGTCGGCACCGTCGTCTTCTCCGAAAATCTTGGACATGATTCCCCCGTGGGCTGTAGCCTCCTTTCCGGAGGTGGATCCCTCGGTCTCAACAGGCGGCAAGTCGGGGTTGTACTCGCCGCTTCCGGGAGTGATGCTTCCGCCCTTGGGGCCAGTGACGTCCTTGCCACTCTTCGGAGTGCTGCCAGGCTTGCCGACCTGCTGCTCCTTGGCTGCGGCCTCGGTCTTGTCTTTGGAGCTGGGGGCATCCACCAAATCAGGATCCCGCCAGTCTTGGACACCGATTTGGAATGTGTCTTCGCTCTTGCGAGCGTCGGGAACTTTGCCTTTGCCCCTCTTGGCGGCCTTGCCGAGACCGTCTCGGATGACCCTGTCCTTCTCCTCGCTCCAGTCGTCAACAAGAACCCAGTTATGGCGACCGCTGCTCGGGGGCTGAATGCTGTCGCCAGATCGGGAGCTACGGCCCCAGCTAAACAGCCATCGGAACAGGCTGGTGCGGGGCTTGGCCGTCTTGTGCTCGGCCTTGGCCGGCTTTCCCTTTGCCGCAGCCTTTGCCTTGGGCGTTGCCGTGGCCTTGGGGGTCGGGGTCGGCGTCGTCACCGCAGCCTTTTGCTTGTTCTTCCTGTTCCTCCGGCTCCCTCCGTCAGACTGCAAAACCTTGAGGGCCGGGCGGCCGTGCTCGTCGAGAGTATCTTCGATGAAGCTGCCGGGCTGCGTCAGCGACGACAGCAAGTGGGCTGTGGTCCGGGTGGTGAAGACGGAGGGGATGGAGACGTTGGAGGTATCACCTCTGGCAAACATCTGGATCAGAGGACCCCCCTTTGTGTTATCGCCCACGATGAGAGCCATGGCGCCACGTCGCTGCGCCCACTTGACCTTTTCCAAGAAACCGCAGCCGCCGCGACTGAGCAGCACGATCTTCCCGGCGATCTCCGCAGCCTCTTGTATCGATTGGATATCGGCGTGGGTCGACTCGGTGGACATGGCGCTATCGTGGTTGGGCTGAGGCTTCCGGGCGAGGCCTTGGTGGAGGTAGTCGTCAGTGCCGTCGTCGGCTGGGCGGATCTTGGACCTGAGGCGGGTGATGGGGACACCCACGGCGTCGGGCACGGCGTCCTTGTCGGTCTTGTCGCGCTTGTGGTGACCAGGCTTGCCGGCAGCAGCAGCAGCCTTGTTGGAGGACTTGGACATGCCCTTGGTGGCAGTCTTGAGAACGGCGTTGGCCTTGCCGTCGTCCCAACCGGGAATGTCACTGCATCCCAGTTCGCCCTCGCCTTCGCCCTCCTGGAGGTTATCGTCGGCGAAGCCACTGCCGATCCATAGTTGGCCGCTCAAGCCCTTGTTTGGCAGATTGGGGCCAAAGGCAGCAGGGCGAGCGACAAAGGAAGTGCTGTTGTCATCGGTCAGGCTGATGGCGGCATTTGGTTGGAAAATGGAAAAAGGCGCTGTAAATGAGAAGAAACTCGTGAATCGTGATCGCGGTACGGCGACCGGGGCGGCGATGACGGGAGAGGAGGAGGAAGAGCGCGCCAGTGAGGTGATGGAGCGGCAGAAGAGAAAGAGCGAGGCGGCGAAGAAGAGGACGAGAATGGCAATTCTGGGAGTACGCATGGTTGGGTATCGTATCGGGTCGTTACTGAATAGGAGAAAAAGAAAGGGACCAGAGGTTGAGGCTCTATATCGTGAGTATGGTATCTAGAAGTGGCGGAGGGTTCGGCGCACGGCGCGGCAGCCGAGGGGGTAATCGAGTCTGGCGATAGTGGCGCCAGAAATGGTTGTTGACGTTGGATAAGGTGAGGTATCGACCGGCAGCTGGCAGCGGCTCAGCGGCAAACTGCACAGGAGCCCAGCATGCGCAAAGTCATTCGGCGACACAAGGCGAGGAGATGTCGTCTCTCTGGCTGCCGTGGGTGGAAATGCCAAATGTATGACGAGGCTGAAGTTGAGGTAGAGTGAAGTTGTGGCGAGGAGGGGAGGTGAAGGTACAACGGTTGACAAGTACCCGTAGGGCCTTTGGTAGGAGCCAGGAGGGTTGGAGGGGTGAAGAGGTTGGGCAGTAACCTTTCCCACACACAAAGACACGCTCTTCGGGTCTCTCTTTGATGTGCCGGCGGGAAGCGTCGGGTCAAGCGAAAAAGATAAAATCGGACTGATATTTCGGTGGTCGGGAAGCAACAAGACGGAGAAAGTTGAATGACGAGGTGCCGATCAGGTTATTCAGGTTCGGGACTGCAGTAAGGTAGGTACAGTGGGAGAAGTCAATTTGATTGTGTGCGGCACGGCGGCTTTGGTGAGGTCAGGTAGATATTGGGTGTGCACGCAGCGCATAGCGGTGCAGCATGCGCCATACAGAGAATAGAAGACCCGATGACGATTGCTCGACAGGCACGCCGTCGGATAAGGTAAGGTAGAGTAGGTGAAGGCGTGGGATGGAACGACTCGAGCAATGGAAGAGAAAGGGACGGGAAGACACTTGAAGGTTGCGACTTACGACTTGTGACTTGGCGAGAGAGACAATTGAAATGGAAGACTGAAAGTGACACACCAGGAGGGTCTGTCCCGTCTGCATTTGGTGGCGGGGCGCGGCGTTGCTGTTTAGGTGCCGGGGCCTCCCGTGTGTCGCTCACTTGCTCTGCTCTCGTGCAATTATCAATGACACACACACACACACACACACACACACACACACACCTCACTCACTCTTCGGATACGCATAGTAAGACAAGGTACTTACCTCAGCGGCCTGTCATTATGGCAGCATCTGGCAAACTGCACATGAAAGTGACTGGCTGGCGGGAGTAGGAATTGATCCCAAAATGGACTCATCAATGGACCATGGTCCCATTGAGTCGAGTCGGGGGGTTTGGGGGGCCCCTGTCTGGCTGAAAGGTGAAAATCGGACGCACTGCACATCGGGGCACATCTCACGCGTGCACTTTCAGTTTGATGGCGTGGGCACGCGGGACAGGACTGGTCATGAGCCACATGTATGTACCTACCTAGTTGACCTCACAACTCATTCTCAATCTCACTCTCATCTCACTCTCATCAAGGTAGCAATACTACTCAGTGAGATATCCTCAAGTGAGTGGGCAATGGGCTCACTCAAAGATCATAACCATCAATATCGCTATCTACATGCTTCAAATGTATCCGTAGCAATCGCCTTTTCTTTTCTTCAGGTGACAGCGCCAACCCCAGTCCACGCTCCACCGTGACTGTCAAAAATACACCCATCCCAGCCACGCTCGCCCGCAGGGTGTGGCAGGGCCGCAGGGGATGGGTTGCAGGGTCGACCGGCTTTGACGGCACACACGCAGAAAGTCTCACTTAAGCTTGGTGGCATCTTGGTTATCAAACTATCGACCTATTGAGGGGTCCTGGACCTCCAGAAGGGGCCCAGAGGGAGCCTGGAGCAGGCCACTTTGTCCTGGATGCTGCTTGTCGTCGCGTGCTCGTCGCTGCTGCACCAGTGATTCAGTAAACCCAACTTTCATGTTCCACCGTCTCAACTTTCTCTCCTATTCCCCACATCCGATGCTTCAGGGCGGACAGGCGACTCACGCAGAAAAGCGTATGAGAGGCAGACGTTGACGCCCAGCCGCGCATGGGGAGATTGAACCACCACCATAAGGGTTCTAACAATTCGCGATCGTCTCACAAGCGCCAAAGCCGACTTGGCCATCACAACAGTGAGCAAGCATCTCGCCAATTCCTCAAGCTGCTCCCAAGATTCCAAAAGCGTCCTAAACACCGACTTAGCTCAACTCACATCCGCGTGGAATACGACAACTCGGGAAATGAGGGTGACGAGTTACCCGTATTCCCGTACGGCCCGCACGTCGTACCCAAGGCACCAGAGGTCGCTTCGCTCGCCTCTTACATCGTTCCCAACTTCCCGAGGGACGAATGAACCAGAACCGCCCCTTAGAAACCGGGCGCAGCAGCTTAGCTCTAAACGCGCGGTTTTCCGTACGGGCCCTGCAGATGCCATTATCGAAACATATGCAAACAAATAATCTTTCTGTTGAGTTGGGCTATCAATGACTTCACACGCGACCACTCAGTGCTCCGTACACTGAACTGATTCCCTCCCGCTGCCCCTCGTGACTGAACCCCAACTGAGACGAGGGGGCGCCATCCAAACCGCGAAAAAGGGGTGTGTGCGTTTGCAGCAGTCCTTTGCCCTTGATGGATGCTAGAACGCCCAGACTCGTCTCGGCCTAGCGGTTCTGAAAGAAACCTAACCCAAATCTCAAAAGTCAAGGAGGGGTGGCTCGGCGAGGCCATCATTGAGAACTCCCAAATACAGCCGGAGCTACCTGATACTGCCAATAGTCGACAGAGACAAGCAACAAAGGTAGGAATGAGGAGACTCAACCTACCCCGGGCCGAGAAGGGTGAAAGAGAGGCAAAAGTGCTCATGGGCATGAGTTGATGAGGTAGCCATCATCGACAGCTGCCGCCGAGTCCAAAATGCTTGCATGAGCTATCCGTACCTTGTCCCAAAAACATAACCTCCCTCTACCCTGCAAAATCGACGTGATGTTGCTCATCATCGTGAACCTCTTCCACCCTCAAAATTCAATCTCAACTCCATCCAATCCTCGCTCATAACAAAGCGTGCATCGTCCGTTGAAATCATACCGCACGCAACTAAGCTTACCCTACTTTAGTCTACCCACCGTGCTACCTTGAGCTCTGAAGGTATCTAAGTCTCCAAGGTAGTTAGAGGAGCAGGCGAACAGACAATCACTGTGCGTCAAGGCGTCTCACCTCGCCAACCCTCCCAGTGTTTATCCCGTTTTCAGTGACACGCAAGGTATCGGTACGGTACCCAAGGTTCAAAATTCGAACCGCCGATGGGAGATGGAGGCACAGGGGGGAAACTCAATTCAACCCCAAACTCCTCTAAATCCTACCAACCAACTTCACGTTGACATTGCGGGCGAGGCTTGACTTGACCCAACCAACCTTCCAAACAAAACAAAACAAACCATGCTCCCAGCGTCGTATCATCCACCCCCTTCACCAGAGTTAGAAACGCGTTACAGAATCAAGCACCCATGTATGATGTACCTCATCCTCCCCCAGGCCCCGACTTCTCTCTCGAGTCCTCTCCATCTCACTCTCACCCGAAACCAAAAAGCGGTCCACCAGCTTCATGACGTCCGACACATCATCCACAGCGCAACACTTCACTCATCCCCCACCGTCCGCCCCCCGCCCCCGGCGCACACCCCCGGGCTCCATTCCCGCCGTCCTCACCACCCTCACACGGCGACGGACGACCCGTGGCAGTGCCGTCCCGGGTGTGCCGCAAGACCCTTCCTTTATTCACCTTTCCCATCCCACATTCCTCCAAATGCCGCATTCATCCACTCTAAAACTTGGCATCCCTTCATTCCCCTGGTATCCGCATTCCTTCCCCCTTCCTTCGTACCTGAATCCTCACGCGAGCGGAAAAGCCACTCCCGTCATCTGGGCCTCTCTCACCCATCACATTCTCTTCTCTCATTACCATCTTACAATGAAAACCCCGGTATGCGTACTTCGTGTGTCCATATCCCACTTCCAACCTATGGTACCCCTCCTCGCCGAATGAAATTAGCTCCCACTTATGGAATGGACCCCTTATGGATGATGGGGTCGCCTTTCCGACTTTTGTTTCGCAGTTTCTCGGGCAGGGGTGTTAGCCCTGGTAAAGGAAAGAGTGAAACGCCGTTTGCGAGCAAACCCCCCTACCACTACAACCCAAAGCCTCAAGTGTAAGAACAATAGTGATATTCTCCTTCTACGCCTTCGATGAGAAACCGCCCTCTCATCCGTACGGTAATTGAGACTCAAACAAAATGTTATGGTTTGCATCCCTCCGAGGCTTTCGCATTGGATATCGAAACTAACGTCATCCCAATGGGCAATATCGTGGATCTCACAGCTTACAGCCTCCTCCAAATGAGGCTGAGAATGAAATATAGAGACGAATCTCAGTTTGCAGGCTTTCCCCATCTATTCCCAAAGCCTCAAAACATCCCATCCACAATCCCAGGGTTGAACATGCTTTTTCTCAGAAAGGTTCGGACGAAGGTGTCAAATCCTAGCCTCTGTCCGTCTTGTACCATGGGTATCAGCAGACATGCTAGACTCGACAGAATGTTGAAACATCTCGAAGCGATGCCGGTCATTTTTACAGCTTCCCGGTGGATAAATGCACCTTCACGGCATCCAGAACTCCGTCCCTGCGTTACTCGTATGCACTACTGCTCAAGCGTCAAGTCACACGCCGCTCTCATGAGGTGAAATCCAGTGAAATTCGTCATCGATCATTAATGAAACAAACTCCACCAAACGAATGCTAATGCTGAAGAGGGTACCTCGAGACGTAATTCAACTATGCAGACGCCTCCTGACCATGAGCCAAACTCGCTGCCAGAAAGAACAATCATGAACAAGAAAGCAACGGAGACTCAATTAAACTCGGAAAACAAACCGCTCAACCCGTCCTCCTTGCCGCGATCCCACTCCCGCTTCTCCCCGGCCTTGGCCCACTGCACATCCCGCTCGTCCTTCTGCTCGTCGGCCGTGCCGCCCTCCCTCCATTTCTTCAGCATCCCATCGGTGTACCCGGCCGCCCGCATCCGCTCCTCCTGATTTTGTCGCCACTTCTGCCTGTCCCTGAATGCCTCCACGGCGTCGTCCCAGTTCTCTCTCGGGTGTTTGTCGTCGTCCGCCATCTCCACATCCGCCTTAGGGTTGTAATCCGCTTCGAAGCGCTTGTCGATGCCCGAGGCTCCCGAGGCGGTGCCCCGGCCACGCGAACGAACTTGCTGCGGCGGTTCCGGCCCAATGAACTCGTCCAAAGGGTCCGAGTCTGACGCTGTCGTCGGGGGCTCCTGCTCGTGCGCTCGCCCTCCGTCGCGGCGGCGGCTGCTGCCTTTGATCGAGAATCCCGACTGCGGCCTCTCCCGACTGCGATCTCTGCGTGACCGATGGCTCTTCGACATGAGGTTCTGTCCTTCTTCATCCCGTCGCCTTTCCCTATCGCTTCGCCGTGACTTTGACACTGTCTCCCTATCTTCGATTGGCGAACGATGGCGGTGCCTCCTGTGCTTGTCGTCGGGTGAGCGTGACCTCCGCCGATCGCTCCTATGTCGTCGACGATCGTCTCGCTCCGAACCCGACTCATCTCTCCTGCTCCGTCGGTGCCTCCTGCCGCTCTCGCGTTCTGGAGATTCGCTCCTGCGTTCCTTGTGATGTGTCCTCCGCGGCGGCGAGTCTTCCTTCTTCTGCGCCTTCTCGTTCGATGGCCCTGATCGGCTGGACCTGACCTTGCGGTCTCCCAGAATCGATAGGATGTCTCCCATCTGCCTCTTTCTAATATCCTGCGGGGCTGCCTTCCTCCGCCTCTCCTTCTCCTCTGCGTGTTCAAAATCCTTCAAGCGCGCGCGGGATTCGGCGGCCTCTTTGGCCAGAAGGTTCTTGTTGTGCGTATTCGTGTCCTTGATGATGTGGCGCAGGAAACGAGTGTTCGGTTTGGGCATGTTTGCTGGTCTAAAGGGGTAGTCCGATTAGATCGTGACGTGGGGAAACCGGGAGAGTCGTGGGACATACTTCTTGTCTGCCCGGTCCATGACGGCCTCTTTGGCGAGCAAGTCGGCGACGTAGTCGTCCGTGATCATGTCATGGTTTGACATTGTGAGGCCGCGGTAACCAAGGTGTAGATCCTAAAGGTGGTGAGATATCCGCGCCCCTTCCGAGCACGCCAGATCAGGCTGGTGGCTGCAGCATCCGTCGACCAGCTGGGGTATGTGCCTCTTTTTATCGGGAATAGAAGAGGAGCGCGGGGGCTGGAGAAGTGACGGTCTTGGATTGATGGAAGAGTTCGAGAATGACAGTGGCAGAGCTCTTCGCCGAGACTGTTGAATGAACCGATGGAGAGGGGCAGCGGGGGTTCGCTCAGTTGAAAGGCGCCGTTGTCGCAAACTGCGGCGTATGGAGGATTGATCGACGACAACAGCAAAGGCCGCCAGAGTCACATCGACCAGGGACTTGGCGCGGTGGGATGAGCCTGCGCCATGCCTGCCGTTTTTCGCACGGTATAGGCAGATAAGGATGTAACGGAGATAACGATAAGATAGCGCGTGCACCTTACCCGATTCAGACCCAAGTAAACAAACGTCACAAAGGGTAAGCTAATTGACAGACCCTGGGCGCTTGAGGGCGAAGGAATCAACGGCCGCGACAGACCTCCCCCGCCGACATCATCTCTCAACGCGCCATTGACGAAACTTGAATCGCCAGCACACCTACTACGACCGAATTCTACAACAACACAGCGCGGACTCTAATCAGCCTCTCACAATGGACGCGGGAAAGGCAGCTCAAGTGCTGCGCAAAATCGAAGACCTCAACGAGAACCACGAAATCTCAATCATCAGACTTAGCGAACCCATCTCCAGCGCCGTCGCGCAAGAATCACGGCAGCGGACGTCAGACGCATCTAACGTATCCCAAGATGCCGCCACACCAGCCAGCCTAGAGGCCGATCTGGAGCACTACAAGGAACTCTTCGCCAAGCTCCGATTCTCCTACGTCGAGCAGGTCACTAAAGAAAAGTTCATACGCGCCATCGTCGGCGATCCGCCCGTGATTGTCACACCGCAGGAGAATCTAGAGCTGGAAAAGGCGAACCTCGAGGCCAAGGCGCAACTCAAGGCGCTCAAGGTGGAGGTCGCGGACATGGTGACGGAGCTGGAGAGGAAGGGCAAGGAGCTAGCGAAGCGGTACGAGGGTGTATCGCTGGACACGACGAAGCTGAGGGAGCTGCCCGACAAGATTGCCGAGTTGGAGGAGCAGGTGGCGGAGCTCAAGGAGACGCAAGCACCGGGACAGAGCCCGATGATGAACTTGCCCCTCGCGAGGACCCTCGAGCTGGTGGACGAGAAGAAGAGGCAACAGCAGCAGTTGGATCGCGAGTTAGAGCAGTTGCAGGCCAGAGTGCCGCGCAAAAGAAAGGAACTGGAGAGACTGCAGGCCGAGTTGCAGCCGTTGGAGGCCAAGAGGCAGAATAGCACGGCAGCTGCCAAGGAGGCGCGAAGGCGGAAGGATAGAGCCGGTGGTGATGCGGACGACCTCGAGGAGCGGGGTCGCTGGTTGAGGGCCAGCGAGGCGGCGCTCAAGCAGATGTTGGATATTCAGGGTTGAGCGGATTGGTATAAAGGGTGAATGGGATGATGGTGGACGACATGATGATTTTGTATACCCGCACACAGCAGGCCCAGTCATGGGTTAGGAAACGGCGTTGCCAGGCGTTTGGAGATGAGATGAATTCACCAACTCGTTTTTACTGATACTGTGGCTCATTTCATTGTGCCAAGTAATGCCACCACTGGGAGACTTTACCTCTTGCCTGCCTCTCATCCTTATTCTTTTTCTCAGTGCCATTTATTGGCTCTGGAATCACATGGTCGTGGACATACAAGATGAAAAGCATCAGTCAGCTGCAGTCTTCGATTAAAGAGTCAAAATAGGGTCAAATGGGGCTGTCCAGGGGTTTGTCACCAGCAAAAAAATAACGGATTGGCGGCTGGAAAATAAGACCCACCAAAAGTCGAGGACAGGGATGCGAGCGCGGTGCACAGGCAGGTCAAGTCCCCTTGCTCGCCGGGGAAGGCGTTGATTGGACGAAGATCGAACCCTCGGTCACGTGTAGTGCCATCCACGAATTTTCAGAGTGGCCGAATGGGTTGGCCCCACCAAGCCCAATCCTCTCGCTTAGGTCACGCACCACGAAATTTGACAATCGAGCGTCTTTCTCGATTGATTCCTCCGCGAACCAACTAACCGACCAGCAACCACCGAACACCATCGTCGACCACCGAATACCGCCAAGATGAGTACGTTTTAGCCGCCGCCGCCGTCACCATCGTCTTTGCGACGAAAGGTTGACCATTTTACGCCGTTTCGATGGACTGACCGATGTTTTTTTTCTTGTATAGCGAAGGGTACCTCCTCGTTTGGTAAGAGACACAACAAGACGCACACCTTGTGCCGTCGTTGCGGTAAGTGATATATGCCTGGTAGGGAGTCGAGTTCTGGTCCACTAGGACGCGACTACTGGCCAAAATTCTAGAATTCAAGATGGGTTCAAGAGACTGATCAATATTCGCAATTTTTAGGTCGCCGATCGCTTCACATCCAGAAGCACACCTGCTCTTCCTGCGGTTACCCCTCGGCCAAGACTCGCAAGTGTACGTTTATCCTCCCGAACGACGAACCCAATCCGAATCCCCAGGCACATCAAAGAAGACAAACCCTCGAGACTGTCTCATCCCTACGCCATATTTCCCACGCCTTTCCAATACACGCAACATTCACACAAGAATCATGAACCGAGAAAGAAGAAGAGTTACTAACGTAGGATGCGATTTACAGACAACTGGTCCGAGAAGGCCAAGCGGAGAAAGACCGTCGGCACCGGCCGCATGCGCTACATGAAGGACGTCTCCCGTCGCTTCAAGAACGGCTTCCAGTCCGGCGTCCCCAAGGGTTCCGCCGGCCCTACCGCGCAGGAGTCGTGAGCGATGATTGGAATGTGAATCGGGTCGACATGGGGAGGTATCTGTGCAATCGAGGGCATTCGGGCGATGGGGGAATGAAAATTTGAGATCGAGGGGGGTTCCAGGGAAGGCGTGGCAACGCCGCCGGAGTCTTGTCTACTCGGGAAACGATATCACGAAAAGAAACCAAAGGGAAAATCAGCTCTTTTTTTTCTTCTGCATTTCTTCCCTCCCCCTATCTCTCACCCCTCCCCTCGTTTTTTTGACTCGGAAGCAAAGCCAATATCAAAAAAAAAGAGTCAAAACAAAACCAAAGCATTTGGCCAAAATCGAAACGGGTGTTTTTACATCTTCTCATGTTATCTCGCGCGCGGGCTCTTCAAGGGGATAAACTCACTTTTTTTTACACACGGGAAAAACGGATCCTGGGGAAAAAGAGAAATGACTTTGCTTGTCTCGTTCACTCACTGATCCTATGCGTAATTGGATAATGGTGACTCTCGTCGGTTCATGGATGGATCCAGTGTCGATCCGTCTCATTACAATGGTTTCTGATCAGGCGTGCCCACGACGACATGATTATGGTTGATGGTTTCTTGGGGAGTATTGGTGACGAAACGCTTTGCTCTGACGAGACAAATTTGCCTGAGAAGATTTTGCCCTCATCCTGAGATTGAATCCTTGCATTCGAGGGGTATATCATATGCCGGCTTCAAAACTGTAGCAACCCCTCCAAGCTCCCTCCCCTCAGTAAGACGAGTAACTTGGCCATAACTTAACGCCGGGTGACATGCAACCTCGATATCCCATCATCCCCTCCCTACACTCCATCACTGCCCCCTCCCAAACACCTTGACGCTGCCATCTCCGCCAATAAAGTACAACAGCTCCGTCTCCTCGACCGCCCTCTCCTCGTCGCCGGCCCCTCCAGCAGTGACCCTCAGCACCCCGCTGACGTCGCTCGCGTTGCCTGTGTCGAGCAGCCTCAGACCAATCACCGTCTCCGCGGCATGCGCCAGCCCGAGAACGAGACTGGCGTGCTCCTTCTCCAGCGTCGTGGTCTGCGCCGCGATGAGCGGCTCGTCTGCGGCGACGGTAATGATGGAGGCGTGGACCTTCTGTATGAGGCGTCAGTGAAGGACCCTCTCTTGATCTGAGAATGAGAAAGGGACGAGGAGGGCATGTCATCAACAATGTAGAATAACTCGCACACAAATGGAAACAAGTCATTGAAGTGATGAGAATTGGGGCGTGAGCATGAGCGTACGTACCTCTTGCACACCAAGCAACATATCCCTCAACGCAAGACCCGAGAGGTCCTCGCCAGACGCAGCGAGCAAGAGGTCCGGCTGGTCCACAATCAGAATCGTCTTGGCATCCGTCGCGGACACATCGGACACCGCGCCGTCGAGCTCGCGCTGGATATCAGGCAGCCTCGCCCCGCGGATGGTCCTTCGACCCTTGGGCGTCGTCTTCGTCGGCGCCGCCTGATGAGGAGAGGAGAATAACCCGCTCAACCCGTCCACGAAGACGAATTTGCCGCTTCTTCCTAGACCTTCTAGGTCGAGGCCCTATGGTGCACGGTTAGTTCTGTCTAATGAGACCCAAGGGTGCTGGGTGCTGGCAAGCAAGATAAGTAGCGAGAGAAACCCTCCTTGAAAATCTCATCGATGGAGGGGTTAGAATTTCGAGTGAGGGGCATTTTTTGTTGTCACAGATAGCACAACAAGACGTGGGAAACAAACATACCAATCTCCCAGCGCCTTCCTTCCAAAACGCGAAGTCTCTCATGAAGCTAACGAGAACGATGCGGACATCCTCGCTCTGCGATGCGGCGGCGGCCCCCTCCTCGGCAGCGGCGTTGAGTTTCCTGAGGTATGTGTACAGGTACCGCAGAACGAGCCAGTTGGTGCTGGCGCCGAGGACGCTGGTGAGGAGGATCTGAGCGTATTCGGGCGGGAGGGCGAGGTAGCTCTCTAGCAGATGGGGTATCCTCGTCGCCATTTCTTTTTTCTTTCGCTTGTGCTCTTATGTGTAAATGATATGTATGACACAGATATGCCTTGTAGTTATGGTCATGTAAGTGAAGGCTTCACTTGAAGTCAGTAGGAAGTCAGTAGAGTCATTGTGCCATTTTGCGCCTGGGCGTTGTGGGGCTCTTGTGACAGTGAGGGGTTGGGAGTTGGCACTGTAAGCACTGTCTTGATATCTCGTCGTTGAAGCTGAAGCTGGCATACAGATCCTCCTGTCGCCGTCATGGGCTTAACCTTCACCTTTTAATCATGCGTCCTTGGTATATTCCACAGTCGTTGACAGGTCAGGTGTTTCTACTTTCTTCGTTACCTCTTCAGAGAGCTCCGGTCATTCTCGACCGCCCTTGACTTAACCTTTCCAGTCAAGCACTCATACTTTGCTTTCACCTTTCACGACTCTGTAGTCGATGCATCTCTTTTTCCACCTTTCAAGGCCACCAACCAGCACTCATAGTTTTCACCTTCCAAGGTCATCAGCCAATAAACCTGACCTTCTTTGGCCTTCAAGGTCACTACGCAGCATTGATAACATTGTTTCTCCACTGGATCGCGCCTTCCTCTTACTTCTCTGGATCCTTCCCTCTCTCCGGCTTTGCCTGGATCTGCGACTATCTTACATAGTCGTTTTCTTTCGCACGATGTAATTATCATAGGAAATCGCTCTCTTGAGCTTCCCCAAATTGTCTTTGCATGCCACTCTTGTTTCCTCACCTACCACCATGCCGTCTTCAATTGACATTATCATTTCGCCTGGCGCGCATGCTTCAACGAGGCGTCATTCATCGAACATCATGGTCTCATCCCACGACAGTCTCCGTGCCGAATTCCGGCAATACGATTCTGAGGAGTAGGCTTACCCTATTTCTTCACTCGCCGCCAGATCCTCATGACCGCTCGAACTACGAAGTCCCAGATGGTCTCAAAGAAAAGAGGACCCTCTTTAGGCGAGAGGGAATGATGTCCAGAACGGCCCTTTGCTTCGATCACGACAACCAACCTCATCTACTGGACAAAATACCAGCACAAAGATCCAGCCAACAACTTGTGCATCGAGATTGTGCGGTCCCTTTCCGGCGACATCGATGGCGATAACCAAGTGCTTTTGGTTAAGGTCCTTTCCAAACCTACGACCAACCCCAAGTTCCCCGTTCCCGACACCCAAGAACTTGCGATCGTCGAGATCTTTGACCCAAAGTTCTAGCCGGAGTATTTTCCCGCAGAAGAAGGTCCTTGGAAGGTGACATCCAGAGCCGACATGAGACTGAGCCGCGAGGCTGGCGCATACAAGGAATTGCACGACAATAGCCTGACTGACTATCCCCATCTCGCCCCTCAGTACTACGGCTGTTGGACGACCCGTCTTATGAGCTACTCTCCAGAATTCGAGGGAAGGACGCGACATGTTGGCCTTGTACTCTTGGAGCTTACTCAGGAAACAAGCATCCAAGATCTATGCCACTACGATGACGATGAGGTCCTGATCCCTCCCGAAGGACGAATCTGCTGGGACAGTGACGGCCCCGACCTCATCAACTTCGACGAAGAGAAGCGCAAGGAATTCCTAGCTCTATTACTTGCTGGGGCTGTTGAACAGGTATGCAAAGGAGTCTGACATGAGTACGTGGAGCCTGAGAACGTCCACAGTGGCTGTTGCGCGAGGAGCAAATCAAGCAAGAGCTGGAAAGGCGAGCGAATCTTGTACCAGACGGCGCTAGTAATGTGTTGGATCACAGCAGAGTTTAGACGGAAATGGACTTTCAAGGGATGGAAGTGATCTTTCACGTACTTACTCAGGAGACGGGGTGCTGGCAAGGGGATGACACAATAGTTTATCACTTAATACCCTGACTCTCTCTATAACTATTACTGCCATTGCTATTATTACTGCTGTTCCTGCCATTATGTTTCGTAATGTGTTCCGTAGAGAATATGTTTTTGAACACTGGACGTACGGGATAGTGAAGTCCTATAAGAAGGGTATGAGTACAGGCAGGGGGCTGCACTCTGGCTTTGACCGGCGTCTTCTTTTGTCACCCACTTGGCTGGGTGATGACTGGTGTTTGAGTTGGTACTGGAGGATGAGCGGGGTGGCGATTAAGATAGCATTCACATTGATGTGATTTTATGATGTTCCTGACATCTTTGGACAGAGCTTAGGTTGCATCCAAGGTACATGACTGAAGATGCCACAGCATACATGCTTGACATGGAGATTTATGCTTAGTCGGGTAATGCTAAAAACCTACCCGCAGGCTTTGGCCCTCTACAGTAGCGTGAAAGTTTCGCGGGAGGTCTAATTTTCGAAGTTAACAACCAGATGCAATGGCGAAGATACGAAATTGCCTGGACCACGACCCAGGTGGGAAAACCTGCTTGTTGGCGACTTCGAAAACGTTCAAAGCAAGAAAGATATCAACGACGGCAAATACGCTGACGGGTGGAAGCTCTGGGCTCGATCAATAAGATGTTCCGCCCTAACTATTGTAGAACGTGTTCTTAACTGCTTTCCTAGCACCATTTTGTTCGAACCTGGTCGGCACCCTTGATGACTTTGATTTCGCCAAAGATGTGGCCCTCCATCGGCATCGCGGCGCAGGAAAGAACAGAAACCCAATAGGTAAGTATATAATTCCGTTGATAGAGTATCTTTATGGACAAAAAAGGTAGTGACAAGCCTCGCGTCGTTGAGGGGAGACAGCCCACTCTGTAGCATGGTATCTGGCCTCATTTCCAGAGTCGCTTTGATCAACACGAAGAGTCGCCCGATCCGCGGATGACTAGAACTTTTCGACGAAGCTTCCTGGCTCCATAAGAAGTGGCTTGCATGTTATGGACATTAGTCAAGACGAAGGTTCTCATCCAGGCAGATTGCCATCGTGGGCTAAGGTAGAGAGCAGATGACAGAGGATTCCCCTACTGTAATGAACGTGTCAGTTCAGATAGTCGTGTCTTTTGAGTCATGGTGTGTAAAGTCAAGCAAGCAGAACCTTTAACGAGGAGTCTCGGGAGAAGGAAGACTCTAGACGGAAGAAAGAGACACTGATCATGCATGAACACGACCCATCTGATTCCCTCCCAACCCAAAATATACTTCCCGCCGTTCCAAGGATTCCTCGCGGCGGAAAAGATAAAGACCTGAAGAAAGTCTAAACTCTACGACGTGAAACTGAGACGTCCCCCAAGTAATAACTCCGGCTGACGCAGGGAAACTCGAGGCGAGAGCCCGTCCGCTTCCAGACATTGGGGCAATGCCGCAAATAGTGGGCCTCCCTCACCGGGCGACATTCGGACTGTGTTAGAGAACTGAGGCATGTGGTCATCCGCCGGTGTTATCCCACGGGCAAGTCAGCCCCATCGTCGAAACTACTATACAGAATCGGAACAATGTTCTAGGGAACCCGTCAGAGATAGTACAAAAGGTTTACGCATGTGGTCATTTGTCACCGTTTGTGGACGTTTCTTGTTCGGTTGGGGGGTCTTTCAGAGCAAACCCCTGTCGCACGGAACTCTCATTGAACCAGTCAGACGCGCCGTTTACGAGAAGCGACTACCTGATGCGGCAATGGCAACAGGAGAGCCTGGGAGGACGCGGAATTCATTGACCGACAACATCTACGTATGTCCCGCGTCTCCTTGTTGAACCCACGAGAAGCGATGCTTTTCTCACAGCAAAGATACATCAATAATAAACGACAACGGCTCGAAGAAATGCACTGTCGATCGCCACGCGTTCCCCACCAAGGGTATAGTGCTGGTTAGATATCCATGGGCAGATTCCGGGCAGCTCCATCGCACCCCGTACATAAGCAACTCCGATTCGCAGATGATGGTGTACGCGCGCCTACGGCAGCATTATCCGAACAAGACCATACCAAACGAGTGCACAGACAGGTACCAGATGCAGACTCACGAAGCACATAGGTTTTGATGCCCAAAGTCTAAAATGCCAAATACATCAGACCAGTCAGTCACATAAAACCCGGTCGGAAAAAACGAGGAACACGAACCATCAGACGACTAAGTGGTACCGTCCCCTAAAATAAACTGATGAACACCTTACCCCTGCTTTTGTCTTTTACAGCTCCTTTCCATCTTTGGAGACGCGTGCCAGGCGCCTTGCTTCCCATGCGTCAGGAACAAGGCCTACCACGCGGCACCTTGACTCGACCCTCACCGTCCAGGATGCCTTGAAACGAGACACACTCGCGCCAAGTCATGTCAGCCAAATCACTTCACCCAAATCTTGGGACGGGACTTCACTTATCTCACGAGACGAGCATGACACCCAGCTAACCAGACCACCCGGAGACTTTTCGAAATTCCTCTCCAAGGTAGCCTTCAGAAGGCAGCAACCTTGACTCGTGACACTCGTGATGCCTTCCGAACAGGTCGGACTTTCCTTCATGCGCAGTCCACCTCGGCAAGGGGGAGAATGATGATCTGGGCAGGTACACCGACTCGTTCTCGAACACTTGCGTCGAAAATACAGAGACAACCTAGGACTCCGGATCTCCTCCCAGACGAAATGCTAGCACGAGATCAGACCAGACAGAACCTAGATGAGCGGGACCGGTTCACCTAGTAGTCTGGATCCGGTCCTCGCCTACGGATTATCAAACATTCTCACCCGTCTGGGGCTGGGTGCCTCTTATGGGATGATGTGAGTCGATCGCAAACCACGCGTGGTCAACCAAGGTCCAGTGATATATAACTTGCCGTCAACCTCTCATATTTCATACTTTGCGATCCGCTTCACTAGATTCCTAAACATCCAACACTATCAAGACCATCCTTTAGCCAACATAATCAGAGTCATAATCATACGTTCGTCATCAACTCACCATCGTCACTCCAAGCAACCTAGCATAGCCTCTCAAACTCAAATTCAACAAAGCCGAACCACCCCATATTAAACATGCGCGCCTCAACAGTCCTCATGACCTTCTTCGCCGCCCTCGCCGTCGCCGTCCCAAGCAACCTCGACTCCATCAATCTCCCCTCCCTCCTCGAGACCCGCCAGTGCGCAAAGGCGGGAACGTGTTCCAAGGGCGGCGACAAGGGCGAGAGCTGCTCTGCGCTCAAGTGCTGTAGTGATTCCAAGTCTGGTCGTGGCGGACAGGTACTGTCTCCCCTCCTCATTTCTTACCTTTGTGTTCCTTGTTCTTCGTTGCCTTCAGTTTTGTAGAGACATGAAGAGAGAATAGTGTTCTAATGTGTTTGTAACTTATTAGGTCTGCTGCTGCAACTAAGTTGCGTAAATACTCATATAAAACACCTCGAGACGCAGGCGCATCTCAGTGCTTTCAAACAGAGCGGATTCGGTACTCCTCCTTTCACCCGAAGGAGAGGACAACATACACTCTTCCTTCTTCTTGAAACAGACACATATTTAGCGATAGACTAGCGACTTCATTATCAAGTTAAAATACTTTGCACTAGTCAACTTTCCTCGGTGTCAGTCACGAGACAGCCATGACGCCCTCACTCATGAGAATAGAAATGAGCTTAACCCCCGCTCAAACGCATCGTGCAATTCATCTCAGACCAGCGTTTCCTTCGTAACTTGAACAACAGATCTCTCAGCGAAACTTCCATGCTAGAGCGCTATCCAGCATAAAGCATGGAAGATGCGCGGCCCATCATCCCATCTCCTCTGAAGCTATCCACCAGTCATGTTGTCAGCATCCTAAAATCATGTCCATCGACAACGGAGTGAAGTAACTTGCGAATGCAGTTCAAGATTATCAAGAGGGAGCCCAAGAAGTTGAGGCAGAACTCTCCACGCTTTTCGGTCGCCGCGACTCGCATGACTCTAGGCGCCTGAACATCCGACTGGTCATTTGATCTCTTCGCGGCAAATGGATCACGGGCACAGGCTCCATTCTTGTTTCTCAAGAATGACTCGGGCGAGCGGGAGGTTAGGATTGGATGCCATGGTTTTGGCGTTCGAAGCGCGAAATACTAGCTCTCTAACGGCGAAGAAAGTTAGCTTGAACGGAAAAGTTAGGGAGGTGGCGACGGGCAAATATGATGAACCAAGCAGTCATAAATACATACTCCTCTCCTCAGTCCGATGGGATTTCTGGCGTGACTGGTATGAAGCTAGATAATTGAGCTGACCAAATTGTCAGTGACCTCAATATGGCGCTGAGGGAATCTGGACTCGAGATGCTTACAAGTTTTTCTTGATAGATCGCTCTTGTACTATCGCGACTGGAGACGCAACAGGACGCGAAGCTGTAAAGTTGGCGAGACGGAAACCTCCCGGAAGACAATTAGATGATGAAATCGTCTTTTCTTTTGGTGTCATGGAGTTGGGAAGGAAGACAATGGATTTTGTGGACCGCAGAGAAAGAATAAAGTGAAGAAAGTCTAAGGCGAAGTCTGATCCCATGACCAGACCCTCTCTAGCCTCAGGTTTTGGACTGAAAACTACCTTCCAGGGATAGATATACAACAAGGTGAATAGACCACGGGGTGAGTATACAGGCAGGACCAGGCACGTACCGGCCCGGACAATCCAGCGAGGATGGTTGCCCATTGGTGATCATCAACAACATACAGACATGACTCCATGAATCAAGTAGGTGAAGACTCCCCAGAGCCTGAGGTTGGAGCTTCCTGAAATTCATGGTTCTGCTAATCCTATCTCTTAGGCTAGTACAATCACTTCAATCAATACCTTTATCACATGTACTACTGCTATTCTTCTAAACTGATTCTTCCAATACATGATATCCTCAGTTCTTATTTGCAGCAGCAGACCTAAGAAGTACGAAGCATCTTTCACCAAGGTAGCTCACCTCAGCTCGCCTAACCACCTAACTAAGGAACTCGGTATGTCAGCTCCGTAATTGTGCCTTTGGCGACTATTGCCCCCTTCCAATCCCTCTGCTACCGTTATCTCTCACATTGAGTGTTAGTTTTGCCAACCTGAAGCCATCGAGTATCAATGGTAAGTCATCTAAGGTACCCAGGTTCTGGAATACTTTCGGCCGAGCAAAAGCAACTGGTGCCCGCTCCCCCCTTCAAGTCTCCATGTCTCACTTCATGACTTGGGCCCAGTACCCATACCTCAAGTACCCACCTACCTTAGCCCTGCAGAGCGAGACATCCTCCGTGCAGACTTCTGTCTTGAACCAAACCCAGCTCGACCCATTCACCACAAGCAAGACACGATACCACATTCCTCTTCCTTGCGACACGTGCAAAAACAAACATCGAGGGCAGAAATTCACTTTCCAAAGGGGTACCGTTTGGTAGATCTCACAATCAATGAACATGGAATTGTTCAAGAGCCCCTCGAAGTAAACGAAAGTTGATAACTCCAAGCACAACTACCTTACGTGTTATACATACAAAGCTGTACGACTAAACATGGTTTCTCCACCGTAGACGCCGCGCCCAAGCAAAATGGTATTTTGGTTCTCTTCGTCTGTTCCAAGCATTCTCAAGATACCCAATTATACCTATTAAGGCTACCAACAAACAGAAGCTCTGTGATGCAAGCTGTCCCAGCTGTCTGTTTCAGAAAAGGAAAGACACACTCAAAAGTACCCATGCTTGGGAATGGCAACAAAGATGGCGGTGAAGACACCGCCCACGAGTACGGCGCACAGCATAGCCTGGAGGAAGATGGTGTCCTGGATAGTGCGCAGAGCCGGCTCCTCAATCCACACCTCGCGGTCAAAGATCTTGCGGACAATGTTGCGCTTCTCGTACTTAATAACCCAAGGCTCCGACTCGTAGCTGTTGTTAGATCCAAACGTGTCGAAGGAAGTCTTGCGATCCTCATTCTCCTCGTCTACGAAGAGCTCCCAGGGACGAACGTGACGATGGTGCATACCGTGTAGGACAACACACATGCCCTTGTAGGCTGCGACCAGGGTAGAGATGCCCAGAACCCATCCGATAGCGGCTAGAGCTCGCCATCCGCGGCCGGCACGGCTGAGAGTAACCAAAATGGCAACGACGAAGGCGATGGCAATGAGACCAACGCCGAGAGCCCGGGCGAAAAAGACGCGAGCGGGGTTACCGTTGCAGATGGACCAACGGATGAAGTTGGGGTGAGCTTGCTGGCGAAGAGAGTTCTCGATAACTTTGATAGCCAAGCGGCAGGCAGTGGGATGAGTTGTGTAGGCGAGAGCATGAAGGGTGGCATCGCGTTCCTTGGCCGAGAGATTCAGCTGTCGCGGTGCACCCTCCATAATGTACGTGGCGATAACTCGATCAATCTCTTCACGGAATGGCTGGATGGTGACTAAGATACATCAGCAAATGATCTTCACCTCTCGAGTCTGGCAACTTACAAGGCTGCTTGGCACCCACGGCGGCGAATGCATCACTGGCCTGTGATCGGTACGAATCGGCGTTGGACACGCCTTGAGATCCCGTATAGACGGATCCTTCGTGGTCGTTTGGGGTGCGGGGAGGGGTGTGGAAGGGGTTGCTAGAGTCTTCCACGATGCCGGCGGCGGCGCCCTTCTTTTCGAAATCGGTTCCCTTGAAAATCTCTTGACCGGGCTTCTTGCGCATCCTCTGAGACTTTTCCTTGTTCATGCGTTGAAGTAGGTCGGCCTCCATGGCTTCAGTCCACTCGGGGGCGAGAGACATGTCAGATGTCTTTGCTTCCCCAAAGCGCTTCTGGAAGTCCCGGTGCCAGAGGAAGAACTGAAGATTTTCCGCAGCATGCTCGATGTAGATCAAGTAGTTCATGAAGTCACGGACGGTACAGGGCTGCCGAGTCAGTATTTTGGATGGAGTCAAAGTCATGGGTGCAACTTACAGGGCAGGTGCCACCGTTGATAATCTTGTCGAATGTGAGCGACTCCGGGATGCCCTGCAACTTCCCAGACTTGCCGGAGCGCAAGGATGAGGAAGTGTTGCTCTGCTTTTCATCACCGCTTTCGGATACATCTGAAGTGCTCTCTCGGGCTGAGCTGGTGTTGCTGACGTATACCGGTCGACGGTAGGTGAGAGGTAGAAGACCCATGGTTGAATGTTTGATAGAAGTGATGCGGAACGCAGCAGTCTTGTTGGAGAAGCGAATGAAGTAGGTGATTTTTAGGTTCTAGGATACTGAAGATGAGCGGATACCCAAAACTTTTGGTCGAAACAGGCCGCCTTTTAGCTGTAGTATTCAGGTCCAGGAATGACGTTCAACGAGTAAGACCGGACAAAGGTGATGGAAAGAGAGTAGTGTTGGGCTTAAGATAGGGTTGGAACGAACTACAAGCTACTGCACGGTCGAGAATAGTGCTCGCCTTGCGGGAAGGGTGGAAGGGTCTGGGGGCAGCGAAGAACACAACCAGGCTTGGAGATGAAGGAACGGGGGAACCGGTTGAGGGCACGGGGAGACTCATATAGCAGTGGGAGGAGAAATGCAGGCAGGCGTAGGCGTGCCTGTCAACCTGTGTCCAGATATCTTGGAGTACCTGCAGGACGATGGCTAGACCCCACACACATTTCGACGTAAAGACTACTTTGTTTGGCCATGACTGGATTCCGTTGACGGAGAGGGCTGAAGCTGGGCCAATCCAGAAAGCGCGAAATCGACTCTTGGCCGGGGTCCCTGTGGGACACTGGGACTTGGGATGGGTGAGGCGTCCAGACGTTTGTTGCTTCCTTGCGGAATGCGGACGGGTGGGAACGACATGGTGGGCAGGGATGTGCTTTCTTCTCGGACTTGCTTGGTGATGCTGATATTGAGGCACACTTGGCAGGCATGGAGGACGACGCAGAAGGAATAGCGCACCCGCGTGAGGGTGGAGGCGACGTACCGCGTACTATCTGTGTTTCTGAATTTCTGTAAGCAGCATAAGGTAGCAGGACAATGAGAGACATGACCATGGCTGTGGTTGCATATGGGCATGGAGGAGAAGAAGCATGAATGGCGCTAGCATCCGCATCGTTGGTTTTCAGAGTTTACGCAGCGAGCCCTTGCTTACCTGCCACGCCTTGCATTATTGTGGTCCTTGTTTTGATTTTGATCAATACGAGGAACTGCAGAGCTTTGCGAGGCGGAAGCCCAAGTTGCTAGGTATGCCATGGTGACAAGGCAAACGAGGACCGAGTGAGCAAACAGCAGTGTGACGACGTTATCGATTGCCCGGACGCCTCAAGAGCGCCCCATTCTCCCATTGCAGACCTGCTACCAAGCCATAGGTGACGAACCTCCCGAATCGGCGAAATCACTGTCGATCTCTTGCAGCATCGTGGCGATTGGTGGAGTGGCCCGGCACTAGCATCGAGGCTTTCCTG